AACAATTAATGTAGCAAACATATATTGTGTGTTGTTCTGTTAAATCACAATGCCCTCCATCTGCAGAAGATGATCCACTAAGAAACATCACTGCACCTTTTCTAAATCCATACCATTGTTGTTGATCACTTGAATTGCTACTTAAAAAATAATTAAAAATAATTTAAACAACAATGCGAATATGAATACCAACACAAATGGTAATAGTAATAATAATAGTTCTTATTATAATAATTATAAGGGACAACCACTTACTATATCATTAATATACGCATTGTCATGTAATGTCAACCTGAGCAGAGAAGAAAGTCTCCCACCATCTTTAAAAACAACAATGCATTGTGGCTTGTCGAGCAAAGCTGTGCTGGCTTATTCGCTGAATTAAAAGCTAAAACACAGGTCCGGGTGCCTGTAATATAACCTGGAATTAATTCTTTTCGCAGTCATATTGGTGAGTTATGCTGCCGCATAATACCATTTATTTACAAGTCACGGTTTATCGGTACGTGCCTCTCTAATTTGACAGGTCCAGGAAAGACTAAGTAGAGTCTCCAAACCATAATGAGAGTTCTTCTTCAGTCACTCATCAGTGTGCTGCAAACATCTTTCACAGTTCTTTAAAGGTTGGTGAAGCCACAGGATGCGTGGGCTGTTGTCACAGCCTTGTTCTGCTATAGAACAAGTTGCAAAGATTTCTTGTGACACTCTGTAACCCTTTAATTTGTGCTGACAGTTTTAACAGACTTTTTTGGGGGCTTTGTTTCACCTAACTCAAGTAGAGATGTGATTTTTAATAAAAAGTGAGAGGCATGAATCTTTAACTTTGAAATAACTAACACCCAGGACTATTTTGCATGCTCACTGCCTGTTCTTTGCTGGTGAAATCTCCCACCCATCCTTTCAATAAATACATCAGCCAACTCACACGGGTTGCTACTGCATGTTATTAATACGCTGTTCATCTGCAGCCATTGACTGGCATTGATTCTCACCTTACTTAGACTAACGCAAACGACTCTCCAGCTGCAACCTAATAGTGCAACACCATCAATTGATTTGCATTTGCTGTTGTTCCTTTTGTCTGTTTGCAATGGGACACACGGAAGCTGCTACAGGATTGTGAGAGAAGAAGAGGTGAGCGAGAAAGAGCAAACGCAGATTTCCTTTGGCAGACATGAGGAGAAAAGAAGGGGAAGAGAGAGAGGATGGAGTAGAGAGGATGGAGGGATAGAGAGAGGCCTGGTGGATTCTGATATTACCCTAATGATCTGCTCAAGGAAAAGCAGGAGGGTAAAGGGAGGGATGGAAAGTTAGAGGACTATTCGACAGTTAAGGCAATGAGTCATGGGGCACGCAGCAAGCTAAAGTCAAAGATAAAGTAAAGGCAAAGCGACGCTGCGTGTGGAGGGCAGGGAATGGGGAAGGCACAGGGAGGAGCGTAAGGACGTTTAGATTGATGAGTCATCACACACATGGAATGGAAAAAGAGAAGGAGAAGAATGGATGGATGAATAACCAGCGATGAAAGTGATGGGAAGGAGGGTTATTCTTGTAACCTTTCAGGCAGGAGTGTTGACAAGTGGCCCGGATGACTGCTGGCCCTGATTCAACATAACGCCCGTGACACAATCGGCAACGATTTGTCAGACAGGCCGACGGACAGACAGCCACGCAGACAGACAGGCGTCACCTCCAAATATCGCTGTGCGAGGAGATTTTAGAGGTGGTTGTTAGCAGGGTGCCAGTACAGTATAAAGTACAATCCATGAGAAATCTTCTTGCACACATGTTCTGATATTTTTGCTCTGAGGACCATAGATATCTGTACAACATTGAATTGCAGTTTATCCAACAGTTGAGATTTCCTTTGAGGCCGCCGCTGGGCCGGCTAAGTCACATATGTTTACCTTGAGACATGGCATTATTGTTGTTAATTTCTTATTCAAACATGAGAATGTGAATATGATCTCAATCTGGTTGCTCTAGGAATTGGAGTCAAAAGCGTATAGTCTAATATATTCTTGTCATAAATGGGATTGCACATAATGATAATCTGCTGCCAAAATGTACTGTTGAAAACCCACCAGTTGAGAACGACTGTCTTAGACCACACCATGGTTTTGCCAAATTTTACCCAGTAGTATGTGAGTCTGAGTCTCAATTACCAAATGCCTACCGGACTCTAGGTTGATGGTCCTTTATTACCAAGAGGGTTTATTGACTTCGCACTAAGTAATTGACTTTGGTCAATTAAGGAGACCAGTATGACTTTATTTGGACGTATTGTATTCTGATATATAGATTAGACGAGCAATATTTTTAAATGTGACATTCCCATTTTGATTTTGCCCACAGCGGAACAGAAAAGGGTTAAGAATGTGAGTCCCAAAGAAATTGTTGGTAAGTAATTATTTCAATTGCCGATTGGATCAAACATTTGACTATATCCATAATTTAACATTTTTAAAAGAAGTAAATACGCAATAGTTCATGAACAGTCTGGGTTAAAAGGAAGAAAGGCAAAGATGGAGAGAGAAAGAACCTGACTTTTTCCCATCTGACTGACGTAACTGTTGTTAATAGAATAAAAACAAAGAACAGCTCTAACTCTACAAATGCTCACTCAAGCAATGAACCTAACAAATCTTTTACTGCAAATTGTCTTGTCTTACTCCTAATTTGTTTTTGGCAGCACTATAGAGCACATTCATGTCTCACTGAATACTACAAAACGACAGTTTTTACTCAAATATCTTTTGGGTTTAAATTTAAGCTGCACTACTACACCAGAGGAACAGGATTTCCACAAGATCCAAACACATTCTGTTTGCACTGGCAGTGCGTTTGTTGTAGTGGTGCAACCAAACCAAAACTGTTTGGTTGCATTATTGCGTATTTCACTAAACAAGCCAAAATCCTGTCAATGACAAATAAGGATTTAAAATATGACCTCATGTTGCATGGACGTCCTCAATGGCATCGGCCAATATATACTTTAGATGCGGCAAAGCATTTTCTTTTTAAAATTGTTTTTTCATCCTCCGCCTCTGTTGTTCTGCTTGTCACCTCAAACTAATGATCCCGTAATACAACAGATTGTTTTTCGCCACCTGATCAGTCTAAGTGTACACTTAAATATGAGCCATTTACATTTCCTTTTACATGAACTGTGTGTCTTTTAACTGGATTTTGATGCAAACCCAGTGGAGGAAAAAAGGACCAGGAACCGGAATCATAATCATGACAATCTTCCTGTAATGTTCACTTAGTCGTTTTCTCCTTGAACCACATTAATAAAACTGCAACGTGAATATTTTAGAATGATCGCGTGTATTCACCATATGGTTCCTTTTCTTAGGAGGCAAAAGGAATATTGTGCTGACCATTTGCTGACGAACCGTTGATCCCAGAGGACCAGGGAAAGAGAAGGCTGATGAATTTGATATTATTGGCTGTTTTTCAATAATTTCAACATTTCTAATGTGCTGTATATCTTCCTTGTGGGTGCCTGTTTCATATATGATCATCTTATTCAAGATATATGCTCTTCATGATTACTTGTATTGCTTACTGATGACAGAAAAAAGCTGAATAATCATAATTAAGGCTTTCTGAGTGCCACGGAGGTCATAGGTTGACCATAAAGGGGGTCATATGGAGTTCAGCGAGACAAATGCCATGTTAGATGCCTTTAAACACTCAGCAAGGCCACTTCGTGTAAACAGGACATTCTACCAATGAAATCTTACAAAGGTGCTGTGTGTAAGTGTTTGAACGGTTTTAGTGCAATCACATATTTCTTTTTTCTCATGTTTTAAGCTTATTCAGTAAGAACAATACCTTGTAGGACTGTGCAAGCATTAAAACGAGCTGCTGGAAGACAGAATGTGTCGTTATCACAGCCAGTACGTATTTGTTAAATAAGTAAGATGCAAACTGCCTTTCCGAAACAATTTTGTTTGTTGGTTTTAAACAAAAAATGAACTGCAGTGAATCCCCATTACAAACGATTGCACAGATGGCTTAAAGGCCACAGAGTCACAACCTGCAGCACCAGGCTATCTCACCAATTAGCACACCTTTATTCAGAGATAAGCAACTAATCGGTGTCATATCTCCCGTCGTGGCGTTTCTCTTTTTGCAGCATCACCTGCAAGACTTTCAGTGGCACGTGGTGTCAAGAGTGTCGAAGAGCCAATTCTCCCCTTTGCCCCGTTGCCCGCGTATTGCGCAGTTTGATTTCAGCACCACGGACAGAGCCCGCTGTTGGTGGCGGGGGATCCGAGGGCGCAGACGTGCTGTGCTCGGTGTGTTGCAGCCCGCATTACACGAGTGATCGATCACACCGATCCGCTGAAACAACAAGTCTATTGTGGGCAAATGCACATGCGTCATATAAGCATCGGATGTTAAGTAAGCTTTGTCATTAAAAAAAAGGATTCAAGTGTAACCGAATTAGTATCCCGTCTGTGTCGGACCGTGGAGGGTAAAGTGTCAACATTGAATCTACTCGTGTGCTTAACAGACGACTGGGAGCCCCTCCGGGGATGGACAGACCGCGTCTCTCAACGGGACAAGCCGCGGAGCGCTTTTAGTTTTAGTGAAATGAAACTGTGTAACCGCGCGGTCCCACAACCGTCAGTCAGTTTTACCGACTTGCCACCAGCACATAAAACCCCTGCGAGTGGGGTTCGACAAACATAATGCACTCTAACACAAACTACTCCAGGCTTATTCATCGTCTCTCGCCGTTTTATTTCATTGCTTTTTTTGTGGTATGCCTCATGCGTCCTTTTTTCTCGCTTAAACGCTTTTACCCATGAATGATCCGGGGTGTTGACCGAAGAAATGTGAGTTCTGTCGGGCTAAACGCTGTCAGGCTTACACAGAGGGGGGGGGGGGGGGGCACGCAATACTGCGCGCAATAACGCACACGCACAATTAATCTCGCGGGTTGTCTTTTTTTTGGTTTTTCGTTAAATTAACCCGAATACAGCCTTATCTATACGTTACAGATGCACGTTACGTTTTTTTTTTTTTTTTTTTTACAGCGAGTTAAATGCGGGAGGCAAGCGAGCCACAGAGAGAGAGGAAGAGAGAGAGAGAGAGGGAGAGATAGATGGCGCGCATGTTCAGTTCTTCCGTGCGGCTTGCCAATCATTCTAGCGAGTTTCCCCACTCTTTCCATCCCTCTACATGTGCGCCAGACACACAGATCTGAGCGGACACTGCGGGGAAAGAAGCGAACGATCCCACCATGGAATAGGAATACTGCTGGACAAACCGGGGGGAAAAGCGCTCTCTCTCATCTTTCTTATTTTTTCCTTTCTTTTTTTTCCCCTGACGCCTTTTCTCTCTCCCCCCCCCCACCCCCACCCCCCCCCTCTCTCTCTCTCTCTCTCTCTCTCCCTCTCTGTCTCTCTCGCCCTCTCGCATCTCTCCCCTGGTGTCTATCCCGATGTCTCTCAACAGTTTCTGAAGGGATTGAAGAAAAGAAAAATGAGGATTATTATTTGTCTGGCACTTTCTCGGGGTGTATTCCGCCCTTTGGGGGCTGGCGTCCGGGGGCTTTCCCCAGCTCAGTGCAGATAGGTGAGTTGGAGGATTACTGAATTTACGCACGGGCACTCAGATCTGAGCCCCTTCACTGATTCTTATTGGATTCTAGCCGACATCATTCACCAAGGAAAGGGGGGGTGGGGGGGGGGGTGTACCAAGACCGTCCAAAACACAGATCAATGGGGAACTTGCGAAAGAAATGTATGCAGGAAAGAAAAGAAAATACAAATATAGAAACACATTTTCTTCAGGTGCATATTTTTCCACTCATCTCTTAGACAATATGTTAAGCGAGAAATGTGTTTCTTTTCTATGGTTTTTAAATGCACACTTCCACTCTGCCTATCCTTTTACGGAATTTGCTTGTATTTTAACGGTTGCTCTGGGAGCTTTATTCCCTTCAGGCTTCTTTACTGTTAGGACACTGCAGTATTCTCCCTCTCTCCCTCTCTCCCTCTCTCCCTCTCTCTCTCGCTCTCTCTTTCTGTGTGTCTCTCTCTCTCTGCCCTTTTCCAGTTACCCTCCTGTCAGTGCGGAGGAAGCCTGTCTTTCAACCTGCCTTATAGTTTACAGATAAAGTTAACTGGATCTGGATCGTCACTGGTTTTCTCAGTGGGACCACACATGCATGCAGCGTCTCTCCCTCTCTCTTATACATACCGGCATGTCTGTGATAATGCATGCACTGCATCACTGATTGTGGGGCCAGCTGGGAGGTCCTATAATGAGATTCGCTCCTTGACTCTGTCTCCCTGCAGCTGCCGATGAACTTAATACGCTAAATGTTTTCTGCTTGGCACACACAAACAGAAACACACATATATTTGCAAAGGTCTTCAAGCATGCCTGTGTGCCTGTACGCTATGTAGTCAAAAAAAATGCCCACATGATTTAAATGCTCCTTGTGCACAGAGCTGCAAACATGCATTCGCATATATGTATACTTTTTACCCAGGGAACATATGCACACAAAGGGTACACACGCGCATGGACATGCCTACTCCACTAGCACATTTGATCGTGCAGAAACACACGTGAATCTTTGCCACTGACGGCCCCCCTTAAACAATCCAATATACAGACGTGATCTTTCACTTGACGAGCAATTTGCATATCTCTGCATTGCACACAAGTGTAACGTCAGTGGAGGCACGGACTGATTCTTTTTGGGTGTGTAAGAGAGACGGACACAGATGAGTTTCTTTGAGAAAGTGGTGCAATAACGTGTCATTTTGGTACATAGCTACACTCCTGCAGTAGGTGTCTGTGTGTGTGTGTGTGTGTGTGTGTGTGTGTGTGTGTGTGTGTATGTGTGTGTGTGTGTGTGTGTGAACATGTATAATTCTACCCTAAAAGTATTCATGTATGTGGTTTTTGTTTTGCTTTGGTTACGCTATACTTTGGCGGATATTAAAAAAGAAAATGAGCAAATAACACAAACATTTAACAAAACACAGGCAGACACACACACAAATGACACAAATGTTATGTGGTGACGATTGCTTGGTTCAATACGCTCTCCCTCCTGGCCACTCACCTCTCATCTTCCCTCCCAGCCTCCCTCCTCCCTCGCCTCCCCCTTTCTCTGTCTCCTGATTAAATGTCAAGGCTTCACAGTATGTCTGTGTAATCCAATTCAGTGGCGTTGAATCTGATTCAGTTAAACTTAAGTCACATCACTTTATTTGAGTTCAGTTCAACCTTCCGCGAGAAGCAATGTAGGACTAATGTACAGGATTAGCATTTAAAATCCATACAAATACCAATACAACAGGATGACAGGACCCTACGAACCCTTAGTAATACCCCTTTCACAAAGTTGACACATCTCATGTTGCCCGAAATTGTACCTCAAGCTTTTGGCATTTTCTGTGAACGTTTTGTCAATACATTGATTATGGCTCAGTTAAGGTAATTCTATCTTTGCTGGCCTGACCTACAAAGGGCTGGGCAAGATGTGGTTAATACGTGGGGATTTTATTACATGTTGTCTTAGCCTGATGCCTTTTATTCCCCTCCATTTTTCAATGGCAAGTAAATGTTATTTTTGATCCATTCTCATGTTCATTTCAGCAGTTGTTGGAATTATATTCCAGCAGCAGTATTACCGGTCTCAGGTTATAGGACACCTCTGAAAAGGTCACATGACCCAAAGTTGTCTCAATTTCAAGCAGAAGATTTGATGCATACAGTATCTTGAGAGAACACCCCTCTCTCTCTCTCTTTCTTTCGAACATGTTCTTCAACTACTTCCTCAACTCTGTCTATTTTTCTTTTTTTTATCATCATCCCCTCTGATTCTCATTTTCCCAGATGAGCCATAATGAGGGATTCTCTCATTTGATAACATCAACTCAAACGTAGCGCTCACCTCCCACTCCCTTTTCTCTTTACATGGTCCACGCTCCTCCTTTATTTAATTAACTGACTGTCTACCTTCCTTCTCTCTTTTTTCCTTTATGTTCAGTCCAACTCATTATCTCTTGGACTGCCTTCCTGTCAGCTTAGTTGTCTCTCTTTTCTTCTCTCCTCCTCTCTGTCTTCCCTTCGTTTCATCAATGAAAATGTGCTGTATGGGTACCCACGTGTGTGTCTGACATAATGTTTAAGTGTATGTGTGAGAATCGTTTGCAAGACAAATTGCTTTTGGTAACAAAGCTAATGGAGATCTCTCTCCTCTCTGTTTTCTTTGCCGTCCTCTTCCTTATCTGTTATTCTATCCCCACATTACTCTCCTTCCTGTCTCTCTCTTCGTCTGCGACCACACTCCTACACTGCCCTTCTGCGCTGCATCACCTCCTTTCCACAACTGCATATTCATCTCCTCTTTGTCCCTCTCTCTAGGTGGTTTGTTCATTAGGAATACGGATCAGGAGTATACAGCCTTCCGATTAGCCATCTTCCTTCACAATACCAGCCCTAACGCTACGGAAGCTCCCTTTAACCTGGTCCCACACGTCGACAACATAGAGACCGCCAACAGTTTTGCTGTCACCAATGCATGTAAGTACTCGAAGCAGAGGCCCTTTCCCTCCTTTCTTTATTGCCGTCTCTCCACGTCCGCTGTTTGGCCTGATTCCTTCGGAAGAATTAACTTGTGTTGTTAAAGATCAGACTGCAACTTCTTTGGAACAGAAGTTTATGGTAGACTCGTCCACAAGTTGCTGAATAGCTAAAACCTTGAATATCTTGCTTTTAGGCACGATGAATACAAACCTTGCCTGACTGCCAGGCATTGTTAGACAATACACTTTGCACTACAGATTCCTTCTGCAAAAAAGAGGTAACAAAACCGTTCAGAGTTACAGCGTGTTTTAGCCCTCAAATCAGTCTCGGAACATTTGCAGACAGCGGTGAAAGTGGGCGGGTTCAACAGTTGGTGCTTGTGTCCTCTGTGATCTTTTGAATGATGACAGCGGATGTTTTAACATCCCTTTCTGTGAGTCGAGATCTAATCCCTCGCTTACTGTCCTCCTGGAATCATGTGAACAAGGATATGTAGGCGAGCTGAACAGTTCAGTGGTGCTTGGCACGCTGTCTGCACTGTATTTGTGCCGTGAATATTAATATGTGAACACAGGCCGATTATGGCCTAGCAGTGCATATTTCTTATGATGAATATCCGTGAGAATAGACATGGAATAAGGAACAAGCATGACAAGCTGGAGCCTTTTTGTAAAAAACGCGGGTTTAATTGAAATTATAGTATTCGTCGTTCACCAGCTGTTCATCCCACAATTCTGCTTTGCAGTTTTCCCCGAAGCAAAAGTGTGGGATGATACTTGTGATCTATTTTCCCCTTTTAGGTTTTACTTCTGTTTCTTCAACTTCATTCGTCCTGTCTGGCTGGCCTCTTGAGGCTCCACTTGCACTGGCATCACAATTTACTGAAACTGATTTGATCCTATTTTGTCATTACGAAGGACAATTATTGGCATAATAATTATTAATGTTTGCCAGGACCGTGAGATGTCCATATGGATTTGATTACTCTGGCTTCTTTTTTAGAGTGGAGCTTTACCGTGACTCTCTGCATGTATTTGACTTGGATGTTTGATTATTTGCTTTTGTGACATCTGCTGAGTGGCCCTTGTTTGTGCCACACTGATCTAAATGTCTTTAATGTTGTGTAGTGTCTTTCTGCTTTTGCTTGTGAATAGTTTGCTCTTCTGAGAACACATTTTTTATGTATTCTCTTTTTGTCTTTTATCTCATTCAATTTTTTTTCTTACCTAAAAAATAGAGTAGTGCGGCTGAGCAATGTGTGGTAATTTGGTGGATTAAATAGAAAACCACAAAATCAATGATTATCCATTTTGCATTTTGCTGCCTTCTCCTTAGAATCAAACTTTCCCTTCTCAGGTATGATAACATATATTCTCATTTAGACAGTGTCATGATTGTGCTGCAATGTTTCACCTCTTTATCTCATTAAACTCTAACAAATCGACCACCGGGTCTGTTAACTAGGCAGGACAAATAAGATCAATACAGTGTAATACAACAATACAGTTTTTCTCCTTGGGGTAATATCGTTGTGTTTAACAAGATTATTGAGGAATCTTGAGATTGTAAATGAAAGCTGACTCCAGCTACTCAAGTGTCAAACCATGCTACTGAAAATTGGTTCTCAAAGGAGTCCTGAAATATCTTCTAGCATTGTGCCAAGCATGAATAAAATATATTTGGACTATTTATGTGAAGTATTAGTGCAGGATTTAACTTCCGAATGACATTGTAATGTCCAAGTTTCTTTGTCTCCTATCCCCTGCACATGAATGAATAATCTAGTTAATGCAACTCCTAATGATTTGAAAATGAATAGTCAATTTATTACCTCCCACCCACAACCTGCTGCATCTATTTCTGTCCCCTGTTTAGCTGTTATGCGTGGGAAGGCACATGTTGAATGCTCATCAGGTGGCATTGTTATAATATGAGGGGCGTTGTATGCAATTTCATTCGGGATGAGTAAAGTGGTGTGCTGATGGAAAAGACATTGGGCCCCAAAGTTCTACGGTGTTTTCCTAAACGGGCTCAAGTACTGAAGCCCAACTGAGGCACTATTTGCTGGAAATCACTAGTTCTACTAAACCTAATGACCTGCTGGTGGTTCAGTTACAATAAAGGTCACACTGTTCCACTGGCTGTTCCTCGATTGCCATGAACGTGCTTTTTTTTTCACTAATGCACCAAATATGCATTCATCTATTGCTAAACACACAGACGCACATGCATACTCAAACAGTCATAAGACGAGGAGCTTTTGGCACAACGGAGCTCTCATATGTGATCCGCCTGCTCTCGGCGGGCTACGTTTAGCCTCCTCTCCGTCTCTCCCTATCTGCACCTCTCTTTGCCTCCCGCTCGACTTCTCACTTCTTCCATCTCTCTCATTCTCCTTTCCGTCGCTTTCTCCCATTGTCTCCCCGTTGCCTCAAATTCTCTCTCCCCCTTCCTCGCCTCCTGTACTGTATACTTCGTCATGTTTTGCCGTGGCTCCCGTCTCCACGGAGATGGTGAATGGATCTCTAAATTAATCCCTGGCTCTTGCGCCGAGTGGCGAGCAATGCTTAGAATTACAACGGGGAATTCTGCCTCTGACCTTGGCCAGTTGCTCTGTATTCTAGTATTCAGGAAGCGTGAACGGATCATAAAAAAAACCCTGGTCTTCATCGTTTTCTATATTCCCCCGAGGAATACACTATAGTTTATTGTCCCAGCGCCACACATTAATATATCTCCTTCCTTGTGGTTTCCTGCGTTGTATTGCATACCTGTGGCTCTTTTATTGTATAATAATCCTACACTATATCTGTTTAGGTGTGTATTTATGTCTGACTTTTGCTTGCTGTGTTTTGCATACAGTACGTGTGTATATTTTGTATGTGCCTCGGCCAGAGAATCACACTATTATACTGGGCTCCTCACCAAATGTTTTCAATGGCTTATAAAAAATAATGCACATGGATTAGCATGACCAAAAACCCACCATGCATGTGTGCGCATGTATGGTAATATTTCTGCCAATGCTGAAGGCATGTGAGAAAACCTGTGTGTCACCGAGGTGCACGGGCACATATGAGCGTGACTGTGTGTGTGTGTGTGTGTGTGCGCGTGCTGCGAAAAAAAATCCGCTGAGACTGAGCGTGATGAAGATAGGCAGAAAGTGATAAGGTGAATTAGGGACAAAGGAGAAAGAAATGGAGAGGAAAGGATTTGTAACCAAGAGGTGGTTATGCCTGGTTGGTCTGCCGGCGCTCAGAGACACAATGACGTGCTTTCACGGCTGTAAATGTGATTCTCCATACGTGTGGTAACACTTGTATTTGAAGAGATTCCGGTCCAAAATGAAGAGAAGTGTTTGATTGTATTGTATTTTGTCCAGACGGAACAGTATGTATTAATGATAGTGATTATGATGTGTGCTGTGGCGGTTTGGATGATTGATGGTTGCAGTCACTCATTTGCCATCTAGAATAAATATTGATTGTGCTTATAGTGAATCATTTACAAATCAATAATGTTAATTTAATATTGACTGTGAGGTATGTGGATTGGTAACGGTAGTTAAACCGGCACTGACAGGCATGGTTTTTAGTGTCTGCTCTGAACCATTAATAAAGGCAGTTTTGGGGATTCTCAACGAAGGTACTAATTGATATTTTCATCGTATATCAGGAGCTTTAAAACTTTTTTCATTTTCTCATCCACTAATGGTCAAATACCGAACAGATCGTGTGTGTGTGTGTGTATTTTTGCATGGTGGCTCATGTGGGAGAACTGGGGCCCTTAAGGATCAGTGTGTTTCATCATTGTAGTGTAGCCTCAGCAGTAATGACCAACAAGTAAGCAATGTCATTAGACAACGCCGCAATCAATCCGCATGTGTGCTTCAGGTAATCTGATTTAATTTAGTCGCACAGACTATTCATTTATTTATTCATTTCTCATTTCTGTCATTAAAAAGTTGTGAATCAAAGCTGACATGTTGCTGCACGAGCTTTAACAGCACCAAATGTTCTCCTTCCACAGATAGGGCCGAAGGCTGTGGTGCACAGGCAACATTAGCCTCGACCATTATGACACACTGTATTTTAAAGAATACAAAACATCAGTTGTTCAGTCTCATAATATCAGTATGAATGGATGTTCAGACATCTCAGGGCATGTCAATTACATTCGCTAAGCAATGATGATAGTTTGTATTCCGGGACTTTAGAAAGCACAAAATAAGGCTTCAAAAGCAGAGGCAATGAAAAAAAAAACAACAGAGGCAATTTTAATTAGGTATTAAAATGTTAATGTTTTGATTTTTTAAATACTGATAACATCACAACTAGTCTTGGACTTTAAGATGCCGGTGATAATCATTAAAGAGAGACTGACATTTGGGGCACAAAATGTTTTAGTTATAAGGGTAAACAAAAAAACAATGAAACAGCAGTTAGGGCAAGTATTCACTCGAGGCAAGAGGAGATGGGGCGAGACGCTCTTGTTGCAGGTTTTACAGACCAGGCAGACTGAAGCTGGTGGAGTAACATCCTCCGTCACATGCTGCACTGTTTTGTCTGGTTCAGAAAAAACCTTTCTGAAGTCAAATGGAGAGCGTGCGTCAAAAGGATGGAGTTTCTTTGCCTCCACCTGGATATGAATTCAGTAGTAATGCACTGCAAATAATATTTATGCGCCACGTATGTCTCAATGAGTCTCCATTTTCCAATTCAATGGGGAAAAATGGTTGACAGTTTTTTTCTCCCACCCACACTCTGACCCACACCCACCCACTTTGTACAGACTCGCACACAGCGCGAGAGCCTTGGCGGCCTCGGCCTGTCTGCTCTGTTTCATTAGGACTTTGTTTTTTACCCAATCGGCATGATAGCTGCTACCCAAGGAAATGTTTTTTTTTTTTGTTTTTAACTCTGTGGCGTTTGAAAGAGGGGTGGCCTGAGAAGAACTGACAGCGGATTTGAAGTCCTACCCATTTCCTTTAGCAAACA